GAGATAGCTGCTATTGCTGGTATATAATATATATGACATATTATATCATATAAGTACATGTGTATTAATGTGTTATACTTTTATATTATGCCGTATTACCTATTAATTTAATTTGTGTTCAATTATCATTTTAGCAAAGGATTTGTGATGACGCCAGTGCTTGGATTTGGCATAACACTCGCAAACAGTTTTATTTCACTCAGTTTGTTCCAAATTTACCAGATTTAAATTTTCGTAACGAAAAAGTTCACGAAGAAATGAAATATATTTTGAATTATTGGTTGGATTTGGGAATTGATGGTGTTAGAATAGATGCTTTAAAACATGTATACGAAAACGAAAACATGATAGATGAACCAATAATAGATAGTAATATAGCGGTTAACTACAATAATTTGAATCATATTTATACAACAGACCAAGAAGAAATCTATGATTTGATTAAAGAATGGCGTCTATTGCTCGATGACTTTAAGCAAAACGACTCTACAAGGTTTCAGAAATTAATTACTTGTTAGATATAATTTTAGAGTTTTCATATAAGTACCTAGTTTTTCCACTATATCCGGTTTCACTGTAACACTACTTAGATACTCAATTATGGCAGCACAGCCCGCATGAAAATTAATTTTCTGTAGGGTTCTTAAACATAATGTTAATACTTAATTGTTCATATACAATCGTGACAACTTGAAAAATGTTGTGTTATCTGTAGCCTTAACAGCCAGCCATAGCCATAGCCAGCTCAAGTAACTATTCACATTAGTGAAATGTGAACAAAGAATTAACCTGTATATAAATAATTTATTTATAAATATATTTTTTTGGGCTGGGGCAATATTGGCCTATAAAAACGTCATTAACCACGCCACTTTCACTGTGTAGTCGTAATGTTTGCATAATATGTGATGCCGTTAGGGTATATTACTGGACGCGTGTTCATGGAAATAGCCTACACCAAAATTAGAGAAATCCAAAATAGTTAAAGCAGACTTAATAGTACTATCTAAGCAAACTCATAAAAAATATTTTCAATAGTTTTTAAAATTTCCAAACTAGGTACTTATTTATAAATTAGCTACAAATTACGTATTTACATAAATGCGTTACACCCATATGAGTTGTCTCCATCTAAACGCATAACATGGCATATTGTACGACCAGAATTATTATTAATCAATTTAACTTAGTTATGTATTAAATCTTAGCTTGAACTGACCTATTATCATATTTAAAAGTAACAGTATAAATCAAACAGTATATCAAAGTAAGTTTTTATTAATATTTTAATTTTAAAGCTAGTTGTAAGCATTTTAAAATTGTAAATTGTTTGTACATTTTAAAATGCTTGTAATTTGTTTTTAAATTTAAATTTAAAAAAAGGCTATTTGATTCAATTGATAATATTATAATTACTATAACCATACTAGAGTACAAATTCCCATGTTAATATGCGTTTGTTAGACGGAGACTGCGAATGCGGGTGCAGTATTATACAACTGTAGCAATAGCGTCCTTTTAATATAATGTAAATTTTAATATTGTTCTATTATTTGTTATTATAATTCCAATTTTAATTATATTCTTCTTTCAGGATAATAATGACTGAATCATATAGTAGTAACAGTGTTTTATTTAAATATTACACTAGTGGAGCTGAAATACCAACAAACTTTAATTTGTTAGGAGACTACCACTATACTCCGAAAGATTATGAGAGAGAAATAGAAAATTGGATAACTAATATGCCAGTTGGAGCAACATTTAATTCAGTGGTATATACTTAAAGATATACTAATTAAAATATTATTATTTACATTAAATATAAAATTTTAAGGGGACTATTTTGAGGTGGTTTAAAAATATATTTTTATATCATCATTATATATTTGTTTATGATTATTGGTTTTAGTTTTTAAAGGGTAAATTAATTTATTAATAAAACGTATATGTTTTGATAATTATCATTGGTATTACACAGTTTACACTGAACATGCTGATAAATCTGTATGTTTAATGTTATATGTAGATATTGTACCCTACATTTGATTCTTTTTTTCAAACAATTGCGCATAAAATATAATACTTTAAATAGTATAGCTTTTAAATACACAGGTACCAATACAAGGGGATTCTATTATAAGTAAAAACTAAAAATTAATTTTCTTAAAAAGTATCAACGATATTTTATACTAATTTTTAAATTTTATCATTATCATTTTTAAATTTTTACTTTTTTTAATGATGGCATATATGATATACCTATTTTTAATTTAATATTCCTAAGCGGAATATTTTTTGAAAATTTTAAAATACGAAAATCGATGTGTGGGATGTTAATAAGTTTTAATAATTAGAATTTAGATGTAGGTAAATATAGTAGTTGGTAAACCTTGTTCGGGGTACAGGAGTATTCGACATTCTATTTTGATATTTTGATGTACCTAACTAAAATTGTATATACTAACAACTGTAGATATTGGAAATTTTTAAATATTTTGGATATTATTGACTAATATTGAGCTATTTAATATAATTTAAAAATTTTAACTGTTATTTTTAGAATTTTATTCGATTAATGTTAATAACTTTTTTTCAAACAAATTATTTTCAATGACTGAAAATTATTCACCTAATAAAAAATAATTCCAAAAACTAAAAATAGACCTTTCGATACAACGAGGTTTAGCTAAATGAATGACCTTGTATAGGTAATTTAAAGTTCTCAATAATTTAATCATAAATAATTATATAATTTAGCTCCAAAACCATGACAAAAAAAGATTTCCTACTTCGTATGGTACAGAATTAATTGATGGCATGAACGCTTTATCCTTATTTCTACCCGGTGTATCCATAGTTTTATATGGAGGAGAAATTGGCATGGAAGACATATCAGATAAAATAAATTACGCAAGAGGACCTATGCAGTGGGAGTGTGGGACGACACGGACAACGCGGGTAAGTACCTATTTAATGAGCCAATGCGTATTGCGTGTATACTATACCTACTTACATGTTATAATAAAGAACCTATACTTAAAGTAAACTAATTCAAGTGTTTCAAATACGCTCACTACGGTTTAAAGTAACTACTATACCGTCTATATCAAACTATCTATATAATATTGTATAGGTACTAGGTAGTATAAATTATTATTGTAATATACTAATATGAGAATGTCACCCTCATAGTTTGTCTCTGTCTGTAGTCTGTACCATACGACGAATACTTAATATATTATGGACTACGCATAAGAGCGTCTATGCTATAAGAGTTTAACATTGTGGTATAGAGATTATAGTCAATACTAATATACACAAATGATAGCCGATAGAAAATGGAACCTAGCGTGTATGCTATATTTTTCTAAAAGTGTGGCTACTGGAGCTCACTTTCGTTATCAATAAATTTCTTAATAGGTTTATGGTCTGTACAAACTACAAACGTACAACATGGAAAGTTCAGAAGAACCAATTTTGTGTTATACTTAGCTTTAATATTAAATAACAATATAACATTTACAATGATAGAACATTATTAGAATTTGTATGTCGGAACTCAGATGTTAAGTGTTAACGATATTTTAATTTTTAAGCGAGTTATGATTTAGGTACTTGCATTTTAAAATATCAATATTTTACGGGAATTCATATTGTTTAAAAAATATTAAACATCGTAAAAAATTATAGTAAATTATTTTATTTTAAAATTGTATAAGTACATACCTAATATGTCAATAAATTCATTTTAATACCTATTAAATAGCTAACAACAGAAAATTGGTTCTGCTGAACTCAAATTGTCACATAATTAAGAAAATCATTATTTTTGGTGTCTTATAACTTATAAGTGGCTAAGCACTCCCCTAGTTTCACCTAGGTATTTATACTTAGGTACTGTGTTGAGTCATAAGGGCCATTCAGCATTCATTTTTATATTTAGCTATGTATAATATATGCCGCATCTACTTAGTGTAATCGTATTTTTCAAGAAATGGATAACCATTTGATGAAATGGAAATTCTTATTTTACACTAAGTGTAATATAAAATTAAAATCTAATATTTTTAAATTGTAGCCATTCATATAACATGTTTTATATTAAATACTGATTTGTTTCGAACAAATATTACCAGTTTAAATTAAGTTAAATTTTTAATCTATTAAATATATTTATTATTATATTATATATTTATATGACGTGTTAATACTTATTATTACAAATATTATTAGTGTTATGTCAACGACGGTTACACATAACAGAAGCGGCATGGCTACAATTTAAACATATTAGATTTGTGTAATCGTATCAATGTTATTATTCTGATTTCACCAAAAATTACCTATTGATGTAATTAACTAAAAATATTACACAAAATGTAAAATAAGAGTTTCAATTTATTGAAATGAAATGGATAAAATATATGTAAATTTCATGAACTTAAATTTGACTTACACGATATATGGTAGTTCATGAAATGGATATCCATTTCATGAAAAATATAATTACACTAAGTGGATGCGACATAATTTATTTGTATGGTGATTTTTTTTATTTACTAGCTTTCTAGTTTCTTATTATACTGGTATTTTAAAATCATTACTTTTGTGAACATTATTTTTTAAATTTATATTTTATACGCACACACCACACACGGGTACACGACAAACACACACACAAACTGATCGGTGTTATTGTAGGTGCGTGATTGCGTGAAGTTTACGGGCGTGTGTAATATACTAATATTGTTTAATGTTTTATGCTCCCGGCCCGTACAGTATATGTGCCTAATATTTTTGAGTTGAAAATTAAATAGTACTTTGTATAATTTTCAGGGTTCACTAATAGCACAAATGGACCATGGGTTGAGGTACACCCAGATTATATTACGAGAAACGTGCAGACAGAAAGTTATGATCCCAAAAGTTATTTAAACTTTTTCAAATCAATATCGAAACTACGACAGACTGAAACGTTTAAAAGAGGAGGGTTAGCGATGGATATTTTTAACGATACAGTGTTTGTTTTGAACAGGTAAATGCTAAACTGATATGAAAATGTACTTTTTTGTGTTAGGTATATATACTTATATTGTATAATTTAAATGAAATTATAATGTTAGAGTCGATTTTTAGTAGGTAGGTCCCTGCTACAGTTAACGGTACCATTATGCTGAAAATTTGAATTTTTTTATATTAAATAATTCAATATAATGGTAAAACAAAATTTTTGATAAAAAAATGAATACTTGACACTATTTTTTTTATCTTGTTCTAAAGTTTTACTTTTTAAAATAACAACATTAATAATTTAAAATGGTAGATTTGGAGCAGGACTTTCGAACAAGTATAATTCATTAGTTATATTTGCGGGGGTGCTATTTAGGTTTTGAAGTATATGAATGTAAACATTTTAGGTGGTACAAAATTTCCACCATCGCATAAGTACCGGAACGCAGGGGCGTATATTAGATTTATACATTATCAAATATAGGTAAAAAAAGAGCTGAGCGCTTCTCTTTTCAATAATGATAGTTGTCGGAATGCAACTTTTTTTATATCTTTATATAAATACAGATTTATCCAAAGTTAAAATACAAGTTGTTGTAAAAATATTAAAAACGTTATTTCAGATTTTTACCTGGATATGAGAACTACACGTTAATTATCAACATGGATACAAATTATACACAAAATGTACGTTTATCAGACCAAATATCAAATTTGAATGATTCTTTAGTTGTTGTGGTTGGATCAGAAAACTCGAATTTCAACCCTGGGTTAGTACCTAATAATTATTTTGCAAAAATTAAAAAGGGAATCTTCTATCATCTATTATATTATTATAAAAGTCAAATATCGCAAAATATTTAGTATTTTTTTTAGCTTTTACTAGACTTATTATATTATATTACACAATATTACTTTATTAAAATGTGTGACTAGACGACTGCTAGGCTAAAATAATAAAATAAATAACAGCAGTAACTAAATATTTTTGGGAAATAAGTCAGTTATTTTTCTTGAGGTCCACCCAGAGTAATTTAAATGAGCTGGGACGAGTTCAGATCATTCCCTAGTGGTGTACCTACGAGGGAGATATGGGGCAATATTCCCCCCTTGAAGACAACATTTTATACACAATACAACATGTATATAATAATATGAATATAATATGTGTATACTGAATGTCTATTAAAAATTGTATATCCCCCTCCCCTTGAAAAAATCCTAGAAACGTTACTATTTCAGATTTCAGACTAAATATGATATTTTTTTTCTTAGGACATTAAATAAGGGTAATTTTGGTACACACTCTGGAACTCCTATGTATAATATAATATAATAAATAAATATAATAATACTAAGATATTTTTATTGAAACTTTTTTCAGAAACTTGATATCAACTGCAGAGTGGTTGGCTCTAAGTCCCGGTGCCACAATTGTACTTACTGATAGTATTTCTACAGATGAAACAGCAACAGAATCAAAACCTTCAACCAGTTCTCAGTTATACATAACATTAAAAGTTGTGTTACTTTGCTTATGTTTCACGAACATTTGTAGTCTTAGGGCACATATTTTGTAGTAAAATAAATAAGTAGTTAAAAAGTATTCAAAATGTTATCCATGCATTGCAAAATACATGAAATGTTCACTAGTTGTTTATATTTGCATTTTCTAAACACGATAACATTTTCAAAATATTTTGATTTATTTTGAACTGTTTAGGGACATTTTCATTTTTTTTTTTTTTTAGTTTTTTTTCTAAAAATATCAATTAAATTTTTTTTGTTAGTTGCGAAAGCTTGAAAATTTAATAGAAGGCTCCTAGTATATTGTTTCAAAGGCAGATGAAAAATATTAAAAATACATAGGCACAATTTTTTTTATAAGCATTTAAAGATAGAATTTTGACAAAATTTATCAAATTTAAAATTGAATAATTATTTTGTAGTTAAAAATTTATAAAATGTTCAACTTTTATATCTAAGAATTGAAAATTTAAATCAAGATTACACGTAAGTAGTTAATTCTGTTACCAAAAAATCTAAAATATACAGAGGGACAGTTTATTTTTATAGTCATTTAAAGTTCAAATTTGGACGAAATTACATAATAAAAAACCTAGAATAACTATTTTAGTTGTTTTGTTGTGATTGTATAATATTATTCGTGGGTACTTGAAATTTCTAAAGTACACTATTATATATCTATATGATAGTATCACGGTTTTTGTTGATGTATAACGCGTTATAAGTATCTAATGGATATTGTGATATGATTAATTTTGAATTTATTATAAGTCAATTTTTTTTAATACCATAGATAAGTATATAATATGTCTTTTACCTAGACTAACGGCTGTGGGTGAGTTGCGGCCCGGCGTGTCGTTTCCGGTGTTGGAGACCAGTGAATTGCGGCCCGATAATATTTTAGCTGTAGGTTAGTTGCGGCCCGAAAAATTATCATTATCAGTACTTGAAACTTCTAATGTGTACTATTATATTCCTATGATAGTATCAGGGTTTGTTGTTGGTATTTAACGCGTTATAAGTACCTAATGGATATTGTGATATGGTTAATTTGGAATTTATTATAGGTACCTATTATAGGTCAATTTTTTTTTAATACCATAGATATTTATGTAATATGTCTTATACCTAGACTGACATACCGTCTCCGCTCAGAATCGTTTTTCTTATACAATGATATTATATCATTGAATTAAAATTTAATACCATCCATTATACAATGACCCGCTTGTAACCTACTGTACAGCGGACCACCTTTTTATACTTCATTATTTAAGGTTACCTATATTATATTATTTAATTATTATCATATTATACAAAATTACCTAGTGCAAATCGTACAATTACCCAATACCAAAAATACTCGTATATAATAGTAGTATTACAGTATGTGTACAAAATGAATTTCATCCACTTCATGAAAAGGTCAACAAATTGTCCATATAGTCATATAGTCCATATAGTCCAAATTGTCATATAGTTTTATTCTGTGATATAGTGTAGTAAAACGTCATTTTCACTAAATTGATACATTTCATGAAGTGGACATCCACTTCATGAAATGAGCGATTTCACTAAGTGGATGCGACATATACATTATTTTTTATAGAATAAGCATAATAAGTCAAATATCAAAATAATGTAGGTCATAATATTTGAAATCAGTACGTGTGTTACAGCCGACCGATACACACGTGTGTTACCGTCTGTCGCGTATCGCATTTATTAGCTCTCGATAGCAGTAACCAGAACTTCACCACAATTAACGAGGTATGTTGTATAATTACGGCCCCCCTCATACATAGTAGGTAATATCATTCTCGTTGGATCGTCGTTTATCACGATGGTCGACACTACAGACAACCCACCCCACACTACATCCTACACACAACAACCAAATACACAAAAAACCTTTGCTGAAACCACAGCAAACACACATTTTCCAAAAAGAGATCAAGCAATAATCTTCAATACAATTCAAGATGTTCCACAAATCGAATATATTAAAGCATTCAGCCAACTAACACACCCAAATAATATAAAATTCGCATCACGCATTTCAAACAATAGGTTCTGCATATTATACTTTGCAAGCAAAAATATTGTTGAACAAATCATTTCAAAACAACCATATATCATAATAAACAACACGGAAATATCTTATCGCCGTCTCATTAACCCAGCCAAACGCATAATCATATCTAACGTACAACCGGTTATACCACACGACATAATCGCAAAGGCAATTAACAATCTCTCAATTATCATGGTGTCGCCGATTACATTTATGAAGGCCGGATTCTCTAATGATGAGTTCGGTCATATAGGAAGCTTCAGGCGTCAAATGTATATACACCCTGAGCATAGTGACAAAATTCCGGGTTCCATTCTGTTACAATTTGACCAAACTGAATACCGCATATTCCTCTCTGACGATACAGTGACCTGTTATTCGTGCAAACAAACAGGACACACTTCCAACCACTGCAAAAATACAATAGAAAATAAAGCCGAATCAGTACACCTCAATAACACAAACGCCAATACGGTTAGTAACGACATGGACCACAATGAACAGATAATACAAGATACCGTTGGCGACACCAATGACACAGATATAAGCGTCGAAAATAATACCAAGGAAACAAATACCATCACCCACACCACACAAAAAGCTACCACTCAAGAAAAAAGGCCTGCACCATCAACCTCGAATAGTAGCTGTCATGAGAACACCTCTATCCCAACACCAAATAACCCCACACCACCACCAATAGAAACTACAAATATACGGAAAAACACCGGTTCACTCGCAACCAAATTAAAAGAATCTGTCAAAACCCCCCAACCTCAGCACAAAAAACCAAGGCGCTCAAATTCAATTGAACAAATAATACTCAAACTGGATGAAGCATTATTACCAGCAAAAACTGCTTTTGAGAAAATACCAAACCTAAAAATTGACTTTAACCAACTAAAACATATTATTGAAAACACACTCACTGGACAAGATCCCTCCAGTGTTTTAACACCATTCAATATATCATCCATGGAAATGATCGAGATCTTGGAGGCAGTCCGTCCCAAAATCAAAAGCATCTGCATCAAGAACAGACTCTCGAGTCTAGCCAATTTACTGCTCGAATTGACCCCCCTTTCCGACTTCAACTAACTCACCACAACACAACAATAATAATTCTCATTCATTGTATACATTGCATTTTAAATAAAGTATCCTAATATGAAGAACCTGAATATAATACAATGGAATATAAATAGTCTCACTAAAAAACGACCGGATCTACAATTAATAATACAAAAATATTCACCCATGTGTATTAGCCTTCAAGAAACAAATCTTAAAAACAATCTCATACCCAATATCAAAAACTACAATATATTCTACACCAACCGACAAAACTGTATTCGGGCTAGCGGAGGCGTCGCCTCTCTAATACACATTGACTATCCCTGTGAACAGATTCCTATCTATTCCAATCTAGAAGTCATCGCAGTTCAGATAACACTAGAATCAAAAATTTCAATATGTAACATATACGTCCCTAATCAAACATCTTTTAACACATTTGATATAGACAACATCATCAAACAACTACCCAAACCATTTATTTTACTAGGCGACTTCAATAGCCATAGCGAATATTGGGGATCAGACAGAACAGACGCTCGAGGCAAATCAATTGAAAAAATCCTAGATGACGACTCGATTACACTACTTAACAATGGCGAACCTACCAGACTTAATCCGTCAAACGGCCATTTTTCCAATATTGACCTATCCTTCTCAAGTGTATCGCTAGCTCAAAAAATATCTTGGTCTATTATACACGAAATATATGACAGTGACCACTTACCTATTCTAATGACACTCCTTTCCACAAAAACACTAACACCCTCCCTCTCATACAGATGGAAGCTAAAAAACCCGGACTGGTTTTTTTTTAATACATTAGTTGACTCCTTTATGCAAGTAAACCCCCAATCCGATACCAGCACAATAGAGGACGATACCGCCTTCATCTCAGAGTCCATTATCAGAGCTGCAGAAGTTGCTATAGGAAAAACAACTAACTCTTTAAAAAGAAATCTAGTCCCTTGGTGGAATGACCAAATAAAAGAGTCAATCAAACAAAAAAACAAAGCACTCAAAACCTTTCAAAGCTCAAAAAACATGTCTGATCTCATAAAACTTAAACAACTGAGAGCGAAAACGCGATACCTAGTCAAAAGAAGTAAGACTGACTCTTGGAAAACCTTCACGTCCTGTTTGGGACCCAAAGCTGACTCCGCTCTGATATGGCGCAGAGTTAGGTCACTTCGAGGCTTCTCCAAGAACCACAACATTCACATCATGAAAGACACAAAATTATGCACCGATCCCGACGAAATATCCAATCTATTAGGAGATTTTTTCTACCATAACAGTTCGGATGAAAACTACAATACGACTTTCTTTAAAAAAAACGTACACATGAGGAACCAGAATTTAATTTCTAGCATCAACCCACACCTTGATGAACAGAAAAAACTCAACTCCCCAATTCAGTTGATTGATATATTCAGAGTTCTATCCAAATGTAATAGTCTTGCCCCAGGACCAGACGGGATACCTTATAAATTTATCCACAACCTCCCCATGACAGCCTTAAATGCAATTATTCGAGTATACAACAAAATATGGTCATCTGGTCATATACCTCGAAATTGGAAGCACTCTATAATTATTCCAATTCTCAAACCGGAAAAAAACAAATTTGATACTAAATCATACAGACCAATATCCCTCTTAAATACCTTGGCAAAGATATTGGAAAAAATTATAGATTATAGACTTAGATGGTTTCTTGAAAAAAACAATTTCTTGGATCCTCGCCAGAACGGCTTCCGAAGACATAGAAGTACCACAAACTCATTACATGACATTCAAGAGGAAATACATTCAACACTCGAAGTTAAACAAATGATGGGCCTCATAGCTCTTGACATATCAAAAGCGTATGATACTACCTGGCGCCCCCGTATTGTTAAAATATTGTCAAACATTATCTGTAAAGGTAATTTATTCAACTTTATACAGAACTTCCTTACCGACAGAACCTTCCAGGTGAAGTGCAACGGAAAACTATCGAAAATATATTCTCAAAAAAACGGCGTACCACAAGGATCCACACTATCGGTATCGCTATTCTTATTAGCGATTAATGATATACCACTAGTTATACAACCCCCGGTTATGTGCACACTATTTGCCGATGACTTCAACATATTCTGCAGAGGCATCAATACAAATAGAACTATAAATTACCTGCAGAATGCAATAACTGCACTACAAGACTGGTCTCTTGTCTCTGGTTTCTCTTTTTCAGTCGAAAAATCACAATGTACTTTCTTCACTAATAAAAGAAATGTTGTTAACACCACCATATATATGAACAATATTCCCATACCAATTAAAAAGTCCATAAAAATATTAGGTATACTGTTCGACTCAAAAAACACATGGATACCTCATCTCAAGGCTATCCGAAAGGAGTCGCTCATAAGAATCAACACTCTGAAATGCTTCGCTCACAAGTCATGGGGTAGCCACTCTTCCAGCCTACTACAAATATACAAGGCACTCATCCTATCTAAGCTCGAATACAATTCTTTTCTGTTCATAAAAGCTAAGCCATCTGCACTCAAAATGATAGACACCGTTCACAACACAGGCTTAAGACTAGTCACCGGAGCTTTTCGCTCCAGCCCAATCCCCAGCGTCCTCAACATAGCCGGAGTCGCACCACTCGACATCAGGAGGGTACACAACACCATGTTGCTTGCAATCAGACGCACCCAAAACAATCTCAAAGTAGCGAAACAAATCACGGACTCACTAAATGATACCCATTTTCCGTACCTAGATGTTATTAAAAATGAAACCCCTCTGACGGCCCCCTGGCTATTCAACAACCATGTAAACAGTGAACTTAGTGAACTAGTTAAGAATGATACCTCACCCATAGTTTTTAACCAACATCTACAATCAATCACCTCCGATCTCTGCGACCACACTGAAATATTCACCGACGGCTCCAAAACGGATATCGGTGTTGGAGCTGCAGTAGTAGTTAAAGACCACGTATCAATGCTGAGACTCCCTAATTTCTGCTCAATATACTCAGCGGAGGCAACGGCAATTTCTTACGCCCTAGACCTCATCAAAACAAGACGCATACTCAAAGCAGCTATTCTAAGCGACTCGCTAAGCTCTTTAAGGAGCATAGAAAACCCCTTCACTCCAAACGAAATCGCCAGAAAAATTCAGAATCAACTGCATAACCTCACAAGTTCCGGATACTCCATAATCTTGATATGGATACCCAGTCATAGTCAAATCACGGGAAACGAGAGAGCCGATGAAAACGCTCGCCAAGCAATAACATCCCCGGACGCTATAAAACTTAATGCCTTTACTCTACACAACGCTAAATCTCTATCTAAAACAATCACAAACAACTTATGGCTCCGGACTTGGAGACTAGGCTCTACAAAACTAAACGAGATCAAACACACCACCCTAACATGGCCCTCTCCATCGAACACATCCAGGAAAATAGAGACGGCAATCAACAGAATGCGAATCGGACACACAGCGCTAACCCACCAGCATCTGATGAGGAAGGAAGACCCCCCCCATGTGTACAAGCTGCGGCACCCAGCTCACAATCAAGCATATTATATCTGAATGCCGCCAATTTGAGAGAGAAAAACGGGAAGCAGGAGTTTCATGCATTCTCGCCGAAGCCCTTCAGCCAGCCAACATCCAGAACACGATATCATTTATAATCAATTCTAATTTAATCAACCTACTGTAAAATAACATGTGTATTAATATTAAGTAACTACCTTCCAATGTAACCCCATAAATTTGTAGTAGCCAATGGCCCTAGATGCCGAGGCTTTTATTAATAAAAAAAAAAAAAAAATATTTGAAATGAAAATAATCCGCATTTTAATAAACATAATACAATATATTGAATATTTATGCAATGATGCCGATTGATTTTTGCACAGTTTCGTTTCGTTGATTATTTAAGATAAAATCATAAATATGAAACAAAAATACAGAAACCCCAAAAATTAAATCAATAAAAGTAAAAAATAAAAATACTTAAATAGTAAATACAATCTAATTGAAATGATCTGCATATAAATGCGTGAACATAGTATAATTAAGTAAAAACCATTTTCTATAAAATCTGAACTCATACCTGATATACTGATTAGGACAATAGTAAAAACAATTTTATTGTTTATATAATATTATATACCTAGTCTATAATATTGGAAAAATTATCAAAGAAAAACAAAGCTTGTATTGGTAGGTAGTGTTTTTGGTATATTAGGTACCAAATACCAATGTAAATATCATTTACCCTATAAATATAGTTACTAGCTTATTAACAAGTGGCTAGGTTGTTGTACTTATGTGAATAAAATCTTAAATGTGTAATAATATGTTTTGAAAATACAAAATTGTTTATTAAATTTATATTATATATTATTGAAAAGGTATATAATATATATACCTACATATAATAATTAATATGTATATTATTGTGTACCATAAGCGTAATTTCGCTTAAATTCAGGGGGTGCAAAACTAATCAGGAAAGTTCCAAACTTTCTACAAAATTGCAAAATACCACTTAAAAATGTATTTACCACTTTTTAAATTCCTGTTCCTCTATCAAAATTGTATACACAATTTAGTATTATCATTAAGGCCCCTGCAAATGTGTCATTTTTAAGGAGTTGTGTTTAGGCAATTATTTCGTTCCTGCGATTACTGATCGTCTTTGTGTGTCAGGAAATGATCACTAGTGTGTTTTACTCCCTTACCATCGCCCGCGATCCACATTAATTTACAATACATTGTTATTTCTTATCTGGTTTATGGTCGCACGCATGCACATGCAAAAGTCATTTAATGTCTAGATCAAAATATTAAAAAATAAATGTATGTACCTGAAATAGGCGTCGCACTGACAAAAATTAAATTCTAGTGGTTCAATTTAAAAAATGTAAAGATGTTTGTGTTGGTAAACAAGTTTACTTTGCATCGGTAGGAGCACTTTTTCAATTTTAGCAAATTCTTAACGAGAATAA